GAGAAAAAGTGTTTAACAGAAGTTGCCTTGCAATAATTGGTTTTAGAACCCAAGGTTAAAATATAGTGTGATTTACAGCTTCTAGGAAAACCTTCCAATTAATGTTATCTACAGAAGAGATTTATGGTTTAAAAAATAATTAGTTAAGAGAACTTTACTGTACAAGACAAAGTTAAGTTAAAGTATATATTATCCATTTGCTTGTTTTTTCCACAATTTTAATAAGGTAATTTTAATGTGAGTCCTTTTGTTATATAAAACACATATAACTGCATATATACCAATTTGGATTTTGGATTTTAGTTTAAAAATTGGACTTGATGCTTCTGAAAAGTGCTACAAAAGCTGGATGGCAGCTCGCCAAATCCCATGTTGTTGTGGTTTTTCTCTAGAAAAACTACACTTTAAAATCCTAACCAATTTAAAAATATACTAGGCAAATTCCTGTTATGAATAAGTGTTTTTAGTAACATTTGCAGTTATTGTGGGTTATTCTTAAAGTTAGATGACAGAATTGTGATGTATTTGTTACATTTTTATAATCTTTATAGTGAATCCATGTTACTGTTATATTGTGTTTGAAAGGTATATATCAAACTTTTAGTTGCTTTTTTGTGGTAACAGAATAAGATTAAGTTATGTTTTTATGTAGTATAAATTAAGTGTTAATAGAATTAAGGATAGTCAAGTTTTATAATGTTTAGGCTTGAATGTTTTTAAGTTAAGTTTTATAACCTAGATATTCTTTTAAAGCTAAGTTTGCTATTTCCTTTTATTATAAATAATTATTGTTAGGTTTAAATATTGTTTAATTTAAAATGTTTTATGTTTTATTTGAGACACTTGTTTAAATTGCAAAGTATAGTTATTTTCTTAGAGAGATGAAGACAGCCACAACTGAAACAGCAGTGATGGAACACTGGTGAACACCTGTTTGTGGATGGAGGTGAATGCAGTCTGTGACACCCTTGACTTCACCGGGAGTTCTATTGGTTGTTGCAATCTCTGCAGTTTTTGTTTGTTATAGCTTTCTTATTTTTCAGTGTTTCCAGAATTTTAAGAAGATGTATCATTGTTGAAGATCAGCTGCCATGGGAGAGGCTTCAGATTAAACCAACTGCTGCATGGTTTAATTGGTCTGGTACCTAAGGCTTCTGATCATTTGATTTGTACAAATGCATTTTAACAGTTTGCTGTGCTGTAAGCATCTCATAGCTGTTGTTATTGAAAACCTTGTTTTAAAAATATGTTAAGAAGCATCTTTCCAGTTTAAAGTTTAAGGCCCTGGCCAAGTCTTAACTTTACCTGGACAGAATGTTTATCAATAGATCCAGATGTTTTTTGTACCAAATTAGTATTTGAGTCACTTTTTGACCTTGCAATTTGACCCTATTAATATGACAGCTGGATCAATTTTGAAGTGAGCTTGGAGAATCATTTCCGGACTGATTGTCCAATCCTTCACTGACAATTTTTGGTTTTGTTTGTTTATTAACTATGAGATGCTGGTGCAGTGTTTTAATAATTAACAGTACTTTTATATTAATTGATTTTTAACTGTTATAAGTTCTTACTAATTGTATATAAGGTTTTGTGTTAATGTTGAACAGAAATACATCTCATTTTTATTTTTTAGAAAATGGGGGAAATTGATACCCTAAAAGCAATTTGATTAGTGTAATTCATTAACTTCAAGGAGGGAAGTGCCTGTGTTTTGTTGGCAGGTTCAAAAAGGTCACCTGTCCATCTGACCAGACTGTGTGCCTCTGAACACACGAGATCCAGTGAACAGAGATGTCATCACACAGCCTTGGTACTCCAGACATGGATCAGAAGTGGACCTGTCAGGACACAGTTGTGTCTGAACACTATACAGACAGTTGCCAACAGAAATTTTATGTTGTTATTATGATGTTGTGTCTCTACCAATTTTTCAGGTATCCTTTGTTTTAAGATTTAGAAGGATGTGAAGAACAACCTGAACATCAAAGCCCTCAGTCACCGATCAACTGCCAGCTGACATCACGGGAGCAGTGAACGTTCCAGGACTGAATCGTGTTAGAGAAATTCTGTAGAAGATCTAAGAAGTGTAGAGACTCCATTTAACTGTATATAAAGCAAATTGTAGTTGTGTGTTTACCCTTTCAGCAAATTGCTTTCACGCTTAGACTACATATATACCAGAGCACGTGTGTTAAAAATAGTTAGATAATAGTCTAAGATAGAGTTTAGCCTGTGTAGTAATTGTTATGTTAGTATAAAGTATAAGTATTCCCCCTTCAAGAGGTAGTGTAAGCATCTTTGAAAGTTCATTTAACGATTGAAGTTTTAGCTGTGAGTTTGTAAGTATGGTGTCATTTACATGGAACCAACTGCTTATGGTAATTGTGATGTGCATAGTCCCAACCAACTGTCTGCTAACTAATATCCAGAAGTGACAGAACGTATGGGTCACTCTGGCACATTGAACTGGCCAAAGGTCACTGTGTTTGAGCCTAGCCACACCTGGAGATCCTTTTTGCACCTGTCTCATGGGAGTCCCTGAATGGGATCCTCCAGCATTTAAAGGTTTAATTAGTAACGAGACTCGACTGAATCGATTGGCAATGTTGCAAGAATGCAGTCGCACTGTTGGCTTCACATTGAGACAACTTGAAGCCTGTTGGCAAGCAAAAATTACCCAAGTTCTCAATGTTGCAACCCTCAGAAGAATTAGATTTGTTAGGTTCCACCAATACCTCAGGTGGATGGATAATGTTTGAACCCCCGACAAAAAGTCATTCTAACAAAGTAATGTAGCACTGAGCTGCAGTCAACCCTACAGCTGATCTTGTTACTACCATTGAAAGTAAAGCCTTTATTTGTGGTGCAATCTCACAGGACAATTACCAAAGCGATTACCTAGTTCCATCTTCCTCATCTGTGGAGATAGAGCATGGAATTAGATTCCTGCTAATCCACAGAGGACCCTGTTATCTTGGGAAACTAACTTTGTTCCACCCAAGTTTACATCAATTGTTGAATGTAACTAGCAAAATGAAAAACATCAAACAGTCAAAGCGAAGCCTGAATGAATTAAGGCTTAGCAACTCTAAAAAGGCTCGCTTGCTAGACTAAGGAAGGATTGAGCTTAACATCCACGATGTTAAGTGAGCTTTCAGCCGATGTGAGTAGTGTGTCATGCAGTATTATGAAATCGAGCTGCAATTGACTTTTTGCTCTTAGCACAAGGACATGGTGGTGAAGAGTTTGAAGGCATGTGCTGCTTGGATCTTACTGATCATTCAGCTTCCATCCATAAGCAACTACAACAGCTACAGGATGAGTTACATGCCCTGAAAGAAGATAGTGACCCCATTGGAAGCTGGTTCGCCAGCTGGGGCATCACCGGATGGTTAAGGTCTCTTGTGCTAGAAGGGGGACGGATTTTACTTATAATGTTAATTGAGATGACAGTCTAACTTGTGTGTTATCTTATCCAAAGCCTGGTTTGTGCAAAAAGAGAAAGGGGGAATTGTTGCTATATTTTATATATTAGTAAAGGCCTGTATGCACAAACCAGCCTTTGAAATAAGTCGTGATATTAAAGGCTAAAGTCCTTGAAACCTTCATGCAGAAGAGAGAGTAAAGCAAAACAATATCCTTGTGTGTAGGAGAAAAAATGTAAACTTGTGTGTACTAGCCAATAGTAGCTTGCTCTGCCCGCAGACCCTGTAGAACCCTATGAAAGGTGTGCTAAAGATAGAAATAAACGGCATTCACAATTACTTCTGTGAAGACTGGTGAACAGCTCGGGGGGCTTTCAACACACCTCGTTCTTTTTTAAGAAAGAGATAGGAATTTACAAACACTGGCACGAGAGGAAATAAGACTGTCAATACTGATCAGTTGTGGAAGAAGCCTTCTTCACACATGTACTACCCCATAGGTAGCTTCTGACACAAATTCTAAGGGCTCAGTGATTAAGGCTGTACACATGATGGGAGACACTGCTCAGAAACACAAAATAAAAATTTGTATTCACAGTTCTGTTGGTTGGTCAGCTACTTTCCAGCAGCTGGCTGAGATGTTGATATCTGGTGCTGCTTTTGTTTGCCAGTTTTGTTTGTAGTTGCACTACAACTGGGCACAGACAATGCCACTGAATGATGCTCCCAGTGCTTAGGAACCAGCAGCCCCAAATGCTAAATTACTATCAGAAAACCTCACCTCTGGAGCTATCAAATTCTAATTAATCCAAATGTAATAGTGTTACCCCAAGCTCAGTGTAAAGCATCAAAGTACCATGTTTGGTGTTGAGCTGCCTGTGCAGGATATAGACAGGTAGGTCTATACACATAAACAGTGGTTTTTGGTGCCTCATGATGTCATCACATTAAGTCCTAATCTCACAAAGACATACATATACTCTTAAATTCACATATTATGAATAGTTATACTGAAGTCAAGAGTAAAATCTGGACTTCATCTGAGACAATACACAATGATTACAAAATATAGAAGCACAAGTAAACAAAGATGGGATGATATTGCACTTGATGGGCTAGGATAAAATATTTTTTTCTGTATAAATGAAAAAAATCTCTTGGTTTGGCTACTATTAGTCAATTGATATAGTAGGAATGAAAATTAATAATATTTTCTTATGAATAATGAGATTTTTTAATGTTTTATTAATTAAAAGGATAATATACAGGTGATAAATCTAAAATATATCAGAGACCATATACCTTTCGCTAGTGCACTAAATTGGTATTTTAATTTTTCATTAAAATAAGGATTAATTTAAAACCAAACCCAATCGGAGTATTTGATGGCAGTGTGGAAATGTCAAAACAAGGAACAGATAATAACGCTGTTCAAGTGTTTTGCTAGAATGCCAGAGCAAAAAGATGAAGTATGTACATTTGAGAAAGCCTTATCAATTTCACTGCAAGATATGAAAAACAGTGCTCCTGTACATTCATGAAAGAACATACAGTTTCTTAGAAGTTCCTTACCTCATTAGCTGTGTTGCGAGTTCCAACTATTCTGATGAAAGATGCAGGTTGTTTATCAAAAGTGATTGTTTGCCAAGATCTACAAAGAAAATTCAGAAAGATATACAAATATCGAACACAATCACAAAAGCCTGCAATAAAACATACACAATGCATTCAAGTGACAGTATGTACTATTATCACTTAACAGGGCAAATGGAGAAACGCTTTTAATTGCCTGAATTTCCAACACTGCTTGCTCATTTTTAAGTGTCTTGATTCTGCTTATGCAATTTCATACATACCTTATATCACTATAATTTGTATGCATGGACAACAATCATACTATTGCTGAAAGTTGAGAAAATGTTCAAAGAAAAAAGGCCTGGATCAAAGTCTAAAATCCTTGACTAATATTGACTGTATCAGTCAATATTAGTCAACAAAAACAAAAGGTCAGATATATAAAAGTAAATGCATCCTCCTATTAACTTCTCACGAGGAATCACAAGAGCTTGGTTAAAGAAAATTACAACTGTAGGAAAAAAAAAACCAAACAAACCAAACCACTTAAATGTCGCTCTAATTAGGAACGGCTGGGTAGAGACGACATAGACTCTCAAGGGAGTCAGAACAGGAGAATTCCTTAGTTTATTGCTTTAGCCTTGTTTTATAGACTAGTTCGTGGAAAGTACAGAAAGGAAACTCTTATTGGTTAGTAAACTGCTACATCACCATCATTGGTCAGTGGTGTACAACACCCTCTGACTTTCTCTTGCTAAGAAAACAAAGCACAGACAAACAGCACCTGCACGGCTGTTTTCTGTCTCTGAGGATTGTTTTCAAATCCTCCCATGAATTTCTCAGGCTAGCTCTCAGGCAGGACTGAGATCTGTGGCCGGTAATAGCTACAGGCACTCTGGTTCAGATTTAGCATCCATACTTAAAATCTCCAACTTTTCACACTAAGTGGAGCAGTAGAGCAAGAGGAGCAAAGATTTCTTTGTGTGGGCCAAGGTCCTTCCAGAAAGTTACAAATGTCACAAAGCATCATTTGTAGTTCAGGTTGTGAGCACTTCCCCATCCTCACACAGTGGCAGTTAGGAGAACAGACCACTTTTCCAGAGCTCATGTATAATTTTAAGGCTAGTCTGAGAACACTACAGGTACATTGGGACCAGTACAATCTTTGTTCCTCACTCATACTCAGCTGAGTGAGGTACAACACCTCAAGCAACTTAATACACAGCAAGAAAAGGACACCATAACTTTGTGCTCACAGCAAAACACAAGAAATAAAAACAATACCAGGAACTAGAGGTTTTAGTTGGACAGCAGTTTTCCACTAGTTTAGTACTTAACACATTAAAACTTAAATTATTTTCTATTCATAAAACATGAAAAAAAAATTCCAGAATTTAACTTCTCAGCCAAACTAGACTCTATCACAGAAGGCTTCAGAAATAAAATGAAGTTAGGTCTAACTTGATTAACTTACTATGGAAAAAAGCTGGATAGTTTTCCAGAATGGGTTCTGAATACTGTCAGAAGTGTTCATGCAAGAAAAATGGGACCAAAGAAAAACTGGAACAGAAGACCACTCACTACCAGCAGACTACCCCAAAGCCTGGAAGTATGAACAGCTTGGTTGCTGACTATTTGTCCAACATTTGATTTTACTCTTATCCTTTTGTCACAAACATAACATTTCTGGCTTAATTTAGTTGGCTATTACTTTTATTACTGCTGTCTGGTTATATTTGTTTAAAGAAGTTCACAAACTGAATCAAATCTTAATTTCAAGTAGTTTACTGCTCTTACTCCATGAGGTAATGGGTATAATTAGAGTCATTCATGATAACAGAAATGTATGGTCTGTGGCAGGCTTCAGAGGTAGGCAGTTATCTGCCAAATGTTATGGTTTATTTATATCCCTTATGTAGCTATACCTCTATTTTAAAGCTCAGGTTGTTTCTTTATGCTCTAAATAAAATATAAAATGGGAACAGACCATTTTGTTGATTGTTTCAAGACCTGAAAGATTGTTATGATTTGAACGTTTCCCCCCTAAACAGGGGATTTATTCTTCTTGAGATCCCTTCTAACATTAACACTAGTACAGTCAGTCAATCTCCAAGGGCAAACAGAACTTGTTACCTTGAACTACAAATTCCCAAACATGAAAGGCTGGGACAAAGAGATAATCACAGCACTACTTCTCATAAAAAAGCATTGCCATAATTTGCATTATGCATATGCTTTGACATTTACACACACACACTTTATACAAGGAGAACGAGAATGTTAAAAACAGTGATTCCAGTGATTTGGAAAAATTTTAAGCTGCAATAAATAAGAGTTTAAAATTTCAAAGCCGGTATTAAGAGCCTGTGCCTCCCTACACACTAATGTAGAGTTTATGTTCTGTGGTAAGAAAAAACGTTAATTAGAGGCCATAGAATAGAATGTGAATCTGTATTTATTTCTACTTTCTGAGCACTGATCAGACACATACTGCAAAAGCTCAGTGCAGAATTTCCAAATGTGGCAATAAATGCCACTGTCTGTCCTATGATGTGATACTAGGTAAGCGGATGCATCTATTTGGGAATTCAGCTCAAGAGCACAAAAGATAGTAAGAGAGATTGAGAAAAAGGTCTCTGAAGATTGTTTTGATGACATACTACCAGATCAACTCCTCCAGGCAGTTCCTATGTTTGTTCATTTCCCACTGCATTGCAAGTCCTTACTTTCTGCTACAATGCTATTCTTAAGATTGGATTATAATTACTCCTTTAATAATATTAAAATATAATGGAAAAAAATTAAATCTTGAGGGTACGATAGCACTTTCAGTAAATTCAGTCCTAAGAATATCTACTATTTCGGTGTTGTAATACATAGCATAAATAAATTCATGCTAAAGTTTTAATCTTGTCTGATAAGAATCCTAGCATATTTCCAGGAAACCTTCTCTGAAGAGATTATAGTGATATGCAGCAAGGCCAACGTGCATATGCGTCTGCAAGGAGCATATTTCCAAGAAACCTCCGTCCGATAAGATTATAACTCATGAATATTCGTATGCACAAGTGTATTTCCAAGAAACCCAACCAGATTTCAACATATACACCCAAAACAGCATGAATATTTGTCTGCAAGAAGTGCATTCCAACAGACCCCCAAAAAACCTGAAAACATATAAAAAGCACCTTGGGACTGTTGCAGTTTGTGCAGCATGGTAAAGCAGTGCTAGAAAGCCCCTCCCTGTCTCACCCGGGGCTGTTTGCCCGGCACAGCGCCGAACTGATTTTTGCTTATGGTTGCTTTTCGCAATTGTATTCTTTTAATAAATTCTTTTTTTATTAATCAAATTGGCTACTCATTTATAACAGGTATGTATAAATTTTATTCCTTTCTCATTGGAAAACGAAAGTCAGAAATACAGACAATTTGTAGAAGAGTTATTAAGAATCAAGAATATTGCCACTAGAGAATTAATACTTGATTGCATAATGAGAAAATTAGGTGTCTCATTTTATTTTCTTAGAAAGAAGGAGAAAAACAAAATAGAAAACAAGCCAAATGGATTTGGAAAGAATAATTTTTTAAATAAGCAATGAAAATTTTCACTAGAAAGACACATGGATTTGACTGCAACAGTATATTTGAAAATGTCGATATATGCAAGGCAATACCTCTACAGTATAAATATAATTACGCAGCAAAGAGATAATTTATGCATGGAACTATACCCCTATGAGAAAAGAGATTACTGACAGAACATTATCAAGGCGTATCTGACCTCTTTTTTGTATTTTTTGCTGATATAACAAATTCACTTAGAGTTCTATTAATGTATAGAGCCGTAACAATTTTTCTGTGGTATTCCTCAATTAAAGACATCATAGGTAATCCTCACATTTCTTTTTTAACCTTCTTTTTTTACTACTAGTTATCTCTGCTGGCACTATTTTAATAATTTCAGTTTCTCTGCAGAAATTCTATTTTGCAAATTGCTTTGTAATCATGTAATTTATCTAGTCCTGCCATGCATGCATATGTGCTTACTTTACACTTTCCTCAAACTTCTCTTTCAATTCTAAAAATTACTTTTGATGCTCTTTACAAAAATTTGCTCCAAACTTTATACATTGCTCTCGCATTGATTCACACGTAAGTCTCTCTATACCAGGAACAGCAGCATTAAACCAGATCAAAAGCACTCCATTTTTAGTCTGGGATTAGATAGTCCTGTGTTACAGATGGCATTTCTTCACCTTTACTCCCCATATGCCAAACAAACAAATTTTTCAAATGGTTGGCAATATTTTACTGTCTTTACCTAGGACCCAGTCATAAAGAAGCTGTCAGAATTTACTTCTCTCATAAAATGACATTGCTGTCTTTTGGACATTTTATGTCTCTGTACACCTTATTAATGGCCCTATAACAAATATTTTTTTCAGGACCTAGCTTTATTAAATATTCAGGCAGTGTTGATATTTTTTATGCTTTGACACCTGTCTTGCTGGTTGATTTGTTTTAGATTAGCTGGCTCAGTCTGCAGCATTTCTGGTCATTGCTTTCACAACAGAAATAATCACTGCATCAAGATGAGGTTTCCATCTCAAAGAGAAGACCTGGGACTAGCAGCCTACTCAGATTTATACCAGGATCCTCAAGCTGAAATGCAGCACTGCAAGTTGTTTGGCTAGCAGCTCCATTTTAAAAAAGAAATTAGCCTTGTTACAGTCATACAAACGTTTAACACTCTACATCTCACCTCAGCCACACGACTTCTAACTCTCTTGTTCTGCCTGACTCCCCTAAGGAGACACAGTAATTGATGATTAGCATTCCAAAGCCATGCTTGCATCCTGTGAGGCTGTCATTTTTAATTACATTTTAACTATATTCGTCTTCTATAATAGCCTGAACATAATTTAGGTAATTATCTTTTGCTCTCTTATTCTCCGACTCTGCCTCTCTCAGAGCTCCTTGCAATGAAAATCACTTTCTCTGTTTAAACATATAAACAGACTCTTGGCCCAAGAATTTTCACCTCTCCAACGGCAACAGCTGAAAACCTGATGGCTT